CGGAGGAGCCCGCCGCGCCCTGCCGCCATCCCCGGCGTGGGGCCGCCTCACCGCCGGGCAGGTGGCCGGGGGTCGGCTGTCAGCAGCGGCGAGGCGAGAAGGCGGGTGTAAAGCCCGGCTCGGTCAGCTTTTGGCTTCGGGTGTCATTAGGGAAACGCCGGTTTGGCCTGAAGAAGGCGGTGAGCGCCGCGGCTGTCGCTCCGTCCTCTTAATGGGGTGGACGGGAAGAGCCTGAAGTTAATTGCTCCGGCAGCGTAATAACTTGCTCTCGTCTGCGGCTCTGGTGGGCAGACCGAATTTATTCAGTGGAGTTCACTCCCGCAGGAGGAAGGTTGGGAAGGAGCCTGCCTTTTCGCGGTGTTACAAGGATTCAAGGGGTTTCCGCCGGTCACGCTGCGAAGGCTTGAGAGATGTCTCGTTCGCAGATAATACAGCCCTCAGTGGGGAAACCGAGCTGGGTTCAATATTAGGAAACAGGCACGTGCAGGGAACGTGGTGGGAGTACGCGGTACCCGCGAAACAGTCTGTGTGGGTGATCAAATGGCTAAACCTGCACAGAAAACTCAGCTTTTTTGGTTTGGCTGAATTCGCTATGACTTAATAGCACCCTGAAAATTGATCGTGGTGCTTCTGGAAATCATGGCTTTCAATAGATTTGTGGCTCGCTTAAGCCCGCTTTGTTATAAGCGGTATGCTGAGGGAAGTGAAGGAGTGCATCGGTGCTGCCTTTCGAGCAGGCTCGGGACAAGATACAAGCTTGCGTCAGAGGCAGAGGAAATCCATATAGCCTGGGCTTACGTAGCTGGGAGCACGTTCTCACCTTTTCATCACCTTTTTTCTTTCTTTCAGATTCAGTCCTGAATGTGTCCGCCTGGTTAATTCATTAGGAGTTCAGAATATAAACTTTGCAAAAGTTTTTGGTTTCTTTTTACAGAAAAATAACCCTATAGATACTACAGATATAGATAAAACATATCTAGCAAAATGGGGCCCCAAATATCTGGCACTAGGCTCTCTGTGCCCTACAGCGTAAATTACAGGCTTAGTCCATGAAACCGCTTTCACTTTAGGTATTTCTCTACCCCACATTGGTATTTCTCTTCCACAGCAGTGGACACTGTCTCACCCTACCAAACTTCTCTGCCCTTCTGGTGATCATTCATTTCCTTGGACTTTTCACTTAACTCATATCTGATTTCTGCTCTGGTTTGGGTTAAGGGGTCTTTTTTGGTGCGGCGGTTGGTTTTGAAAGGGTGTTTAAATGTTTGTATGTATGAAAGTTAAGGTATCAGGATCCTCAGTGCAGACAAAACCTCTTTTCCTTCAGGCTAAGGGAAAATTCCAAAACAAAACAGGCTAGTTGTTCTCTGTTGTGCTGGAAAGCTGTAAATGGGCAGAAGAGTAGATGGTGAAAACACAGTTCTGTACTAGCTCCACTCTTTAATACTCAGCAATACAAAATTAGTAAATTTGGTCATATGTCTATTTGCAGATCAAGCACTTAACAAAAAATTGACCTAACAAAAGTTTTGACTAAGCACTCTTCTGAAAAAAAAACATTCTTACCTCAACTCTTATCTGTAGAGGTTTTAAGTTAGAAAAAGACTTGGTTGTATTTTTAGAAAATACAATTTAGAAAAAGGATCCTTCGTGTGAATTCTTGTCTTTCTTTCCTATTCTGTCTTTTTTTTTTCCTTTTATACAATGAAGAGCTTTTCTTGAGAGAATTGTGTAACTGTGACAATACCAGTATTTCACCCCTCACTATTATGCCCCATGAGCAGCACATCTTGCAAAAAATGAGTAAAAAGAGTCAGATTAGAAAGTTGCCGCTTATAGTATGTTATGTATATGGAGAAATATAGCAATGTATTTTAGTTCTTAGGATACCCTCAGTTTTCCGTTACCCCAGGTCTCCCCAGCTGCTGCCTGGGCCCCTCTCTCTTAGCTAGCAAGGCTCAGACACGCTCGCCCCACTTCGTGTCTTATCTGTCCACCTTTCTTATGTGTAGGAGGTGCTGTTGCCGGGCTTTAGCTACATCTACCATTGCTGTTGGATTTTTTTTTTTTTTCTCTATTCTTCTCTAAAAAACATTGTGGGGTTTTTTTAGTGCCAAAAGGCTTTGTGTTCCTTACAGTCTGTTATATATTAACAGAAGTTATGTTGTGGTGAGTGAGGTTGGGTTTAAGTGCCCAATACAAAAACGCTGACTGTCAGATGTTTGCATCTCAATAAGGTTGTCTGTGCTGGAGAGCTTTCAGGGATAAAGTCCCAAATAGTTCAAGTATCACGCTGCATGTTTTCCTCTGCCACAATGGAGAACAGCTTAATAGCTTGCAAACGTTTTTAGAACAGCACTTTTCTCTTTTCTTAGCAAAAAAATCTTCAGGATATTCTTAAGGCCTAGAAATACAATTCATTTTATTAACTACGTCTTAAGCTGGCATAATGACAAGGGTCCCTAAGCCTTAAGATACTGGGTTTTATATATTCAGTATTATGGAATGAGACTCTCCCCTAGAGGTAAAATTAGCGCCAGGTTGGGTAGGATGATCTTGATCATCTTTGCCAGGCAAAACTCAAACACTTCATTTTTCAATTTAGAATAAACCCCAGCATTTATTCTTAAAATCTTGAGGAAATGAAGTGCCTTTTGGGGTTGGGCACTTCAAAGTTCGTTCCTTTGTAAAGGGTTGCAAGCTGTTAAAGATTTTTGTGATTTCTTCTACAGATTCAACCAAATTATCCAACCTTACTAAGGTTCTACGTACAAGTTTATCTGAGAGTCTTTTTTGAAGTGGCAGTTTTCAAGGGCTGGAAAATAAAATAGCAAACACAGTAACATATTACTGGCTGAGGAAATTAAGGGCAACATCCAAATTCCTGCTCAATGTCTGTTTGCTTGTTACCATCATGCTCTGAGCTTAGTGAACATTTGTTACAGCCACTGATCCCCGTGTGCTCTCCACTGAAACACTCCTTCCCTCTCACCCTCTTCAGCATCTCTGGAAGCTCTCCCCAAAGCCTCTCTTGAGATGACTGTATTTGCCTGTCTGTCTCTCAAATAAGTACACTCTTCCTTCTGCTCCAGACTTCACCCCACCTCTGCCTGCCTGTCTTCCCTGAACTACCATGAAACTCTGTCACTTAGCACACCTATCTACCGCTTCCCATATCTGATCCCTTTTGAAGTCCATTCAGTCAGTGTTCTTCACGTTTCTTCTCCCAATACAAACTTTTTCAGTCACATACTAGTTCTGCCTGCTTTATCACTCATACTTTTTTAAACTAGGTTTATTGAGTTCGTTCTGGTGCTGTCCCTTTAAATCTTCTCTCTCTGGGGCTTTAAATTCCACCTGCTGGATAATCCTCACACCCATTGCTGTACCCCAACT